ATGACCTTCAAATAGTCACTAAACAAAACTTTAACTTAATGAGATTTATATTCAATACAAAACAATTAGTCCATAAAAACAAGTTTTTTTCTCTTTTCGATCTATTTCGATCACTTCCTCCTCCTCCTCTTCGTCTTCTTCTCCTCCTCCTCCTCCTCCTCCTCCTCCTCCTTCTTCTTCTTCTTCTTCTTCTCCTCCTCCTTCTTCTTCTTCTTCTTCTCCTTCCCTTCTTCTTCTCGATTATTATTATCGTTACTTTCATTCCAATTTTAATAATCATAAATTCAATTGACCTAAGTATGAATCTACGTGATGTTCAACTATTTAAAAACAAGGGGGGTGGTCATTTTGTTCACATGGTGAATTTATATCTAAATTACTTCTTGTTTATTTATTTATTTTTCTATTAAATAGTTAATTAAAGTGAAATGTTGATGAACATATCCATATAGATTCAATGAAATAAATAAAGAGAAGGTTTTGAAACGAGAAAAAGAATGTTCATATTAAATTGTTAACTAAATAAACTATTATTATCATTATTAATGTACTAAATATTATGTTATGTAGAAGAAATAAAGTTGTTGTTTTTTTTTCTTTTTAGAAACATAAATGAGTGTATTTATAACTGATAGATTATGGATAACAATGGGATCTAAGATTCAACTTCACTTATCTTGGAAGTTTGATCAGTTCTAATGAGTTGGTGATTGACGAAATTTCATCACGGATTCGAAAAGATTGTTTGGCTTTTGCCAACTTAAGTTAATTATAGCGAAGGCGAGATATATGTCTATGAAATTAAGCGATGAGTATATTGCACGGCAGTTTGTTCTGTGTTCTACTTAACGGTTGCGAACTTTGGCCATTAAGATTAAAAGATACTAGTATTTGATCACAGATGCTTTAGAAATATTGCTCGTACCTTTTGGGATCACCAGATAAGTAAAAGTGTTGGTAAATCAATTGATGAGATTGTGAATCTTCATCGACTGAGATGGTTGAGCCACGTGTTACGTATACATGAACACCGATTAGCACGACGCGCAGTGCCGACTAGTGTTGGGGACGGTTGAAAGAAAGTGAGAGGCGGATAAACCAAAACGTGGCATCCATGCGTGAAGTCCCCAAATTTTAGTCTTAGGCATGTTGGTAAATGCAAACTTTTTGGTTGTGGTCCGCGTGAATATCGTAACCAATTGCCAGAGACTTTGAGTGACGTGGCTCAGAATCGATCACAGTGTCGTAGCTATATACACTCACTATCTTCCCTTAAACTATGAGATTAAAATCGCTTCATATCTTTTATTCTAGGAACTATTTCTTCCTTCCCGTACTATGTACAATGCAATCTTTGTTTTATATATTTCCACTATTGAAGTACCTATTTTTATGGATTTGGTGTTTCTCTTGTTGCACTAACGAGGTATGGCAACTTGACTAATGCATATATGTACCAGGTCCTACGTTATAGCGAACTGACTGACTGATTATTCACTATTCAGCTGTATGTCAATTTTTATATTTGTGAGCCTAATCCAGCATATTTCACTCGAATCGTCAAACATGTACATCTACTGAGTTACTGAATTCATTTAATCAAAAACATATTCAATGATCCAATGGTCAGTTTTGCACTGTAGAAAAAAGGAATTTATTACTTATTCTCTAAATAACTAAAGAGATCTAGTGACATCTTTACTTTTTCTCTTAATAAACATCTGTATTTTCATTAACAACTTGCCATTGGAGTAAAGGTATCTTACTTCTGATGTGAATAATTTTTCATGTGTCACCATTCAGGGGAATTTAGCTTTTTTTAATGGCTGAGATCATGAGTGAAATGAAGCTGGACCACCATGGAAAACCTGGAATCACTGGATGGCCGTTTCGTCCTACTGTGAGACTCTTCAGCTTCAATGCTTATTGACAAAATATTCAAGAGTAAAGAGATTGAAAGTTTTTGTAGCGTATTGAAATCTGCTTTCCAGTCAAATTATTAATCAATATGATGATACCTACTTCTTTAACATTCTGATCATAAACATAATATATAAACGAATTAGATTGTTTTCTATTAGACTATCATAAAGCATTACTACATAAAATACGTAAATAGTACAAATGGATTGCAAGAAGATAGGTGTACTAACAGTGACGAAAATAACAAAATGTGAAATAATGAAATTATTAATTAACGTTTCATTAGAGGAAGAATAGGTCAAACTTGGATAAAAAGGCTTTGAATTAATAACAATTATAAAAGGATATCGAAATTGCGTTATTAAAATTGTGCACACAATTAAATAGTAAGGAATATAAGCAGAATGAGGTGATGAAAGACAAAGAAATACGGGATGTTAAAAGTTAGTTTAACCGTTCTTTAAGTGGTATTAGGTTCAAGTAGGAGACTAAAGTATCATAAATTTCCTCTGCGCATTTAAACTAAGGTTAAGAGTTCGAATCCGCATAGCCTCTGTCACATATAAGAGATTGGATTGAACCCCATTGGGAAACAACAAAGCTATATGATAGATCATTCATAATGACGTTATTTTATCTACCATATGATCATTGTCAACCGGATGTAGCAAGATGTAGCTGCATATTATTTTCGTTTGACTGACTTACTAAACTTTCCCTTATTCTTCTGTTAAATTGCCTAATAGTGTACGCAATATATCTATTTCTGTAGAAAGCGCCGGATTTATAGATGCAAACTGAAGAGATAAACTCAGATTACTTTTCCTTTATTTGTGTAAACGTCTCTGTTTTACTAGAAAGTGTCAGTCTTAGATTAGCTGCTAAGAGCATTTTATTATCTGTCCTCTCTAAAATATCATGAAACAGATCGATAGCCACCGATATTGGATTAAATGTTCATATTTCTGTAAAATATTTCACCCATGTCTACTTATTCTAAAGCAGTACAGAATAGGAAAAGGTTATTCTAACGCTGATGTATTTGTAAGTCGCAAATATGGTAGTGTTTTCATCATTAAACATATAAGGAAGAGATCTGTTAAAACAAATACAGAGTTAAAAGTTTTTTTGTTAGTAAACGGAATTCACTCATTAAGACATTAAATAAGAAAGATTAGTTCAGTGAAGAGTTCCCTTTTCGGCGAATTCATTTTCAAAGCTGTACAATCGCACACGTATATATACTTATTTTACAGAATGATAATAATACTGATAATAAACTTTTGTTAAAATTAAAACACGAAGTTCAGCGAAGGGATCTCTTTTCAACGAATTTATCATCAAGCTGTACAATCGTATACATAAGAAAATTTTGTTTTTGTAAAAGTACTAATTCTGTGAGGAAAATGTTGAAATCGAAATTAAATGTAATGAGGATGATCGTAGAAACAGAAATAAAACAGTTGGGGGTAGCAGATTTAAGGGGAAGATGAGAGGTGAAGCAGATGGCTGTAAAGGAAGGATCTGTATTTCCTGAGACATTGATTAAATAAAGTATTAAGTTTTCAGCTTGAATGGAATTGCAAGGTTTGCAACTAAATGCTTCTGAGGTAAAGCTTTTTACATGCACATATTCCGACGATCTATTAGGTATAATCGAATAAGGTACTTCTTGTAGATGAAGCAGGACGCATATAATACTGAGCTGGATCAAAGCGATTTGAATTTAATCCATTAGCTCCAGACTGAAGAGGTTGATTTTGATGTAAAGCATTACGTTGTTTATTTCACACAGTAAGCCAGAAGGTCAATATTTAAATTACTGAAGTATGGTGTTCAACTACTTAATTTCCAAAGACTGACTGATATCCAGTTAATTAATCCGTAGTTTTTCAAAGAACTTCGAATAAAATTAGTCCATCTGAGTCTTGTTCACTACAATATGACTTCATCATCTGTTTTTATCTTTATCACTTAATGTTTAAAAAATCTTATAGTTCACCCGCGAAAACCGAAGGATCTGGGTTCAAGTGCAGAGTGTAGGAATCACATACTAGGACGAAACGGCCATCTAGTGATTCCAGGTTTTTTATAGTGATCTAGCTTTAATCAACTCATTAAAAATATTATTCTGACTTAAATCATGAGAAGTAACATAAATATATTTTTAAATAATAACAGTTTAATTTGAAAACATGAGAAAACTTGTGACATAAGTCAATATCAAGACAATCCGCATAAGATGTACATATACCAATAAGAGACTGATCAATTTCAGTTCTAAACAACAATAGGAAGATACAAGGAAATTTCTATCAAGTCATATTTACCAGACAAGTAAGAAAAAACAATAACGTTTATCTACTGTTTCTTGATGTCATTTAATGTTGTTTCTAATGTACATCTGATCTTAAAATGTCATTCCTTTGTTTTGTTTTATTTCTTCCTATAAACTTTTTTTTCTATGATATTTACCAAATATCATTATGATTTCAAATAAACGCCATTTTCAAATTACTTATCTCTTATTGGTTAATTTTTCTAAATTGTATATTTCTTTCTCATATGATTTGTGTAAATAGTTTAGAATAAAAGACAGTAACAACACAGTAGGGTGTAGATATTAGACAAATAATATTACAGGAATATATATATTGCTTAACAAATTAATATTACCATTAGTCTATACTAAAAGACATTACTGTTTCAATCTATCAGTTTTACTTGTTTGAACCAACAACAACAACAACAACAACACAAAAGCCAAACTGAAAACTACTAAATGATCTAGAAATATTAAAATTTATTATTGAGATTGTGTCCTAATTCTGCCTGTCTGAAATCTTCTTCTATATTGTTCTTCATCTTCTTCTTCTTATTATTATTATTATTCATTTTACATTTTTACCCCTATTCAATATTGTTACTGTAATTCAAGACAGTTGAATAGTAACACAAAAATTAGAAAAAAAAAATGAAAACCGTATCAAATTGGTTAACTTATTGAATGAGTTTTGTTTAAATTAGTAATATTTTAGTGCGCACACACACACATACACACACGTACACACATGCACACAACAACAAAAACAACAAATTTGCTATCAACCATTCCAAGATTTCTGAGTTAATCACTATGAGATGAATGGAATAAAATCTTATATGAATTGAATCTTTGAATGGAACATAATAAACGACTTATTTACTATCTAAACTATTATTAGTAGTAGTAGTACATTGTATACAAATTACATTATATACAACATAGTCTTACATGTTACTATTGTTATTATTCATGGACTATGAATGGATTTCATGTTAATAAACTTTTAAATTCATAAACAAAACAAACGGATTAATGATCTATTGGAATTCATGATTCTTTATACAAGGTAAACTAATAATGTTTAATTTATTTAACATTTTTTAATGAAACTAATTCAATGTTGGTTCAGTAGTTTAAAGGTTAAGTGTTCGCGCATAGGATCGAAAGTCCTGAATTTAGATCCTGCGAATGAGATTGTAGATGCGTACTGATGTGAATTCTCATACTAGGACAATATAACCATCCAGTGCTAACAGATTTTCATGGTGGTCATGAATTTAATTATAAAATTAATTATCATTCAATTGTTTTATTTATTAGTGATTTAAAGATGTTAGTTGTGGAAATTACTTGGTCTTGAATGTGAATCAAGATACAAATGTTTGCATTGACTGCAATCAGCTCATATTAAAAGTCATTATTCGCGTTACATACGGTTACATATTAGTACAAAAAATATAAGTAAAAATTTTGAAATCATTATTTGAATTAGTATTCTCCTGGTCCTCATTTACATTGAAGATGGTTTACTTTAAAGTATAACACAAGCAATTATTTGAAGATTCTATCCAAGACAAATGATCGTTCACCATCTTTTGGTTTTCAATTTTTCCCTAGCTAATATCCCATTAATAAATAAACCCTATTCAAATGATACTATTATTAACCTTCAAAGAGATGATTAACCTTTGTAAACTAATGTTTCTTATTGAATGCAATATATATCTAACAATATAGTAACTATTCCTCCTGTAGTAGTAATAATAACTTCGACAATATCAATTTCAACTTCATACTTCTTAATACGAAGATCGTGTAATGAAGGAAACTGTTTATACTAAAAAATAGATAATCAATATAAAATGCAATTGATGCCAAAACATAAAACTTAGCTGTTCACTTATTGTCAAGATATAAATTACTTGACGTTGAGCTTCTTTTACAAAACACAAAGATATTAGATTGTTTTAACTCAATTATATAAATGTAACTAATTATATAAAGTTTAACTAATTACAATAGTTTTGTAATTAAGAAGCAGTGATCAGTGGAGTTCAGTCGTGTCTGTTGTGAGATAGTAACTCACTGATGACAATGGTGGATGTGTCTCTCAATTTCGTGGATTAATTGAAATTAAACATTAACATCATTAGATGCAGGCCGATTCAGTGGTCTGGCGGTTAAGCGTTCGCTCGTGAGATCGATAGATCCTGGGTTCGAATCTCGCGGGTGGAATCATGGATGTGCACTTCTGAGGGGTCACACAATAAGACGAAAGGTCCGTCCAGTGCTTCCAGGTTTAAATAGTGGTGTAGTTTCAATTCACTCATGATCTCAACTATTAAAACTGCAAATTAATAAATCTTGTAGCCTACTTATTATGCATCACCAGTAAAGTAGTGAAATCTTCTGAATATCTTGTCCATGTATACAAACACAAAGTCTGAGGTTTAATTTATTTCACTATGAACTTGTAAAACGTTAACTTACAAACAACTGTAATAATTTTTAAAATTGTAAATAACTTAATATATTTGTAGGTATTTCAATGAGTAGAGAAATTCGATTTTCTGACGTTTCGTAACTCAGTTTAAGCCACTTCTTCAGAGATTAAATAACCAACTCGAATTAATTTTGATTTGGTTTTTTTACATATTCTCTGAGGAAGTGACTTACACTGAGTGATGAAACATCAGAAAATTTATTGTTTCTACTCATTGGAATATCTACAAATCTTCTATTCTTATTTATAACAATCTACTCAAAACACAAATAATTCGAAATTATCAAGTCAAACCTTCATCATGATACTTATTTAAAGGTCAATTCATTAAACAAGTTCCAATTGATAGGACTAGTAAATGTTTACTGAAAATATAAGAAAATGATCAATATTTCACATTTGTGAATGAACGTGATTTCATCAGTAGCTTTCCTTCATTTTTTTCTTAGATCACGTAGTGTTGTTGTAAAACACTTGCTTATTCCGATCTATTGTGTATTTCATTTATAAAATGATACACATTGAAATTAGTTCTGATAAAATTCAATCATAAACGACTAATGAACCTTTGAAATACTTCGAAATTACGATAGAAATTCAAATTTAAAATCTATGGAACCACCAATATGTATATGTATATATTCTCTTCAGTAACTGCATTTTGTCTTTCGATTGATTTAATAGTCGAACTCATGAGTCAATTAAAGCTAGATCATCATGGAAATCTTCAAAGCACTGGACGGCCTTTACGTCCTATTGTGGGATTCCTCAGCAGTGCACAGCCACAACCCCGCATTGAGGAATTCGAACTCAGGACATATCAGTCTCGCTCGTGAACGCTTGACCATTAAACCGCTAGAGCTGGCCGTCATCCAACATTGTTAAGGTCTAATGTCAACTAATCCACGAAATTGCGCCACTGTCTACCATTGTCTTCAGTGAGTTACTATCTCATAACAGACCATGTTGAACTCCAATGGTCACTACTTCTCACATACATTTTTAGTGTTATGCTTGATACGTTCAGCAAATTATTGAGACAATATATAAATTTTGAAAGTTCATCCCACCAAGAACTGGTATTGTGGTGTACCCTACTGATGTCGAAAGATATAATGTAGTATGTATCAATAATTGAAAATGAAATACCTGGTTTCAGAAGGTTAAGAAAATATAACAAACAGAATCCGAACAGAGAATGATTGGTGTGGAAATCAAGGAACAATCAAGTCTGAGATGATTGATTGACATTTTGCAAGTGAATTATTTATTGTATGATTCTCAGATTTCACTGAGTGATTCTGTAATTTTGCATTCACATACATTTGGTTGTCCTCACTAGTTTTCTCGCTCACAACAGCATCTGTTATAGAACTACTAAAACAATGAATCACTAAGTAACTAAATGCTTTTTTACAAGCATAATACTGACCTGAGGATCAAATACAAAGATAAACATGAATAGTACTACAAATCAATGCATAATTTTAAAACTGAATGAATTACACTTTTATTACATCACATTACTTACTTGTAAGATCCACTCTGTCAAGATTAAGAAAACTTTATATATATACTCAAATGAATATATAATGAACACAAACATACTTAATATGGTGATTATTGTACATTTAAATTTACTAACTTTTAAATCAATAAACTTGGTGTAACTTTTACTAAATGTAGTAACCCTGAAAATATGATTTAGTCCCAATCTTAAGTGTTACAATTTTGCTTTGGTTTAAGCAAATTATCATTTTTCACGCATTCATATTAGATAAAATAATCTTACTCACTTACTTACATCTGTTACTCCGAATGGATCATAGGCCGTCGACCAGCATTCTCCAACCCACTTTGTCCTCCGCCTTCTTTTCTAGTTCCATCCAACTCTTGTTCATTTTTCTCATGTGTATTTCCCGGCGTAATGTGTTCTTTGGTCTTCCTCTTTTCCTTTGGCACTAAGGATTTTGAGTTAGTGCTTGTCTTGTGACGCAGTTGGGTGCTTTCCTCAATGTGTGTCCTATCCATTTACAGCGCTTCTTCCTAATTTCTTCCTCCGCTGGGATCTGGTTTTTTCTCTCCTACAGTAGGTTGTTACTGATAGAGTCTGGCCAACGAATCCGAAGTATTTTGCTTAGACAACTGTTAATAACCTAATTACCTTTAAATGATACAACAAAATACTTCCCTGACATAAAATTATTCATTTACCTTAAATTGTTTCAGTTTATCTTTATTTAAGTAAAGTATCCTAACTATTCAAGTATTCAATGTCAATCATTTGTGTACACACATGGTGGACAGATTTAAAAAATCGTTCAATGTTAAACGTTTCAATAAATGTAATAGTATCGTATTGTAGAGACTAATTCTTTACGTATGTCGTACACATACACATATATCTTAGTTATGTCATTTGTTTTGTATATATGATTCGGTTTCTGGACATTATATTTGTAAAACAAAATGTATTATCTATTCTTATTTGTATATTGACTTTATTCCAACTACCAACTTTCATAATCAATTGCCTTATTCTCTTTGAATTCATTCTTAATTACCTACTCCTCTATCATAAAAGTATATAGTAAACACTTATTATTATTATTAATGGTAAGAATAATAATCTTAATTTTCATTTACAATAACAGCTGTTGTATATTTAGAAGTACATTCCTCATTACCGCAAAATTAAAACCCAAATGCGTATATATATATATGTCCCATTTAAAGAAAACAAAGAAAGACAACAAATAGTCAGTTGTTACTGTTAGATTAGTAAAATGTATTGTAAATACCGCTAATATGAATATATAAACATTATTGAGCAATTGTATTTCGTCAGGTCAAAGAAAACATTTTATATAACTTTAATCAATATTATTATAATAAATTGATGAAATAAAAATAAACTTTTGTTAAGTATGTGGATTACTTCTTGACTGACTGACTTACGCCTGTTACTTCTAATGGAATATAGGCCACCGACCAGTATTCTCCAACGTATATGGAGCCCCACTGAGGATACTGGCAATCTCAAGCCCCGCATTAAAGAAGGAGGGTAAGCATAGAGTTAGCGACACCATCCTGTAGAAGACTAACTCGCTAAACAAAACTCTAACCATAAGAATATTCAAACCGTTTAAGTATATGGATAATCTTGATGGATAATGATGGTTATTTTCTTATATAACTAATTTGATATCAATAAGTGTTTAGCATATTTTGAATAATGGTCTATTTTGGATGATTTTACAATCAATCCCAAATTTCAAAATATTAATTTTATCCTAGGATATGAAGAGCAGTTTAATGTCATTATGGAATCTCAGGGCTTTTGTGCTACTATATATATATAGTAAGCTTTATTAATATTTTGCGATGTTATTCTTCCCTTCAGCGTTACTAATGATATTCATATGATTTATAGAATAATAATTTCCATATTCGTAAAAAAAAGACAAATACTATGATTTAATTACATCATATCAGTAATTGAGTAAATTATAAATAACCATAGCAATAATAATAATACCGTTGGGTATCATAATCTCCAAGTTTATTTTACTAGATTTATGGGCAAGACTAAAATTTATAGATAAACCAATCAGATTTAGGATAGTAGAGTTTTGGATTTTAGCACGAAATTCATTCATTCATTCATTTGTCTAAATAGAGTTTTGGTATTTTAACTAATGACAGTTCGTGATGAAGTCTCTACGTCTAGTTCCTAACCCTAAACATCAAGTGTGAATACTGACACTGATTTATGGAACTCATTTAGTCCTAGTTCGTAGGCGAACATTCTCAAGATCTTCCATATATTATAGTCTTACCAAATTTTAATTGATATTTCTTTAATTAATTTATGAAATTGTATATACCGCTTCCTGATGATAATATATTATCCAAAGTTAAACATGAGATAACATCTTAAGTTGTAAACCATTGGACATCTATGCTGTACAAATTATAATCTTTACAAATCTCTATTTAAAACAATAATATTTAACAAAAACACATTATGAAACACTAAGTTAAAATTTATATTTTTCAGTAGTTGAGATCATAGGTTAATTGAAGTTAGACCACCATGGAAAACCTAGAAGTACTGGAAGACCGTTTCGTCCCATTGTGGAACTCCTCAGCAATACGTATTCATGATCCCGCCTCGTGAGATTCGAACTCAGAACTTATCAGTGTTGCGCGCGAGCACTTAACCGTTAGACCATTGAGCTGGCCTGTATCCAAAGGTATTATTGTCTAACTTCAACTAATGCACGAAACTGATCGACATATCCACCATCGTATTCAGTGAGTTACTATCACACAACAAACCCGGTTGAACTCCGCTGATAAGTTCTGTGTTCAAATTTCGCGTGACGAGATCGTGAATGCGCACAAATGAAGAGTCCTACAGTCGAATGAGCTGAAATCCAATGGCTTTAATGTCTAAACTTCAATTAATCCACAAAATTGAAAACCATTTGATAAATTCCTAACTCATTTATATTTTGTATTCTGTCTTATGTTACTAGGGTTTTTAATTTTGTTTTCAAGCTCATACATAATACAGTATGCAGACTCATCAAGTTTTTTACATCAATATATGTCTTTTTTTGAAAAAAAATAAATTTACGAATTAATTAAAAAGAAAATGTTCATAACCATATTAATATATCAGAGTTCTAAAGAGGCTATCTTCTTTGAACTGGAAAATCTAACTACAATTCAACCATCCAGTATTGATTTGAATCAAATTAAAAATAGATGAGTGTAGTGACCTACTTTTATCAAGAGAACGCGATTGGTTTAATGGAAACAATTATTAGTATAACCAATTGTACCACGGATTGTTTTACCGTACTTGTTTCGTTAACTGTACTACAGACATTTTTTCTTCCGTTGACTGTTACCTCGCACGAATTCGGTTACGCCCAGTAACTACACTTGTACTCCTTTGGCACGATCTCGGTATTCTTTCGATACCACGAGATCGCCAACAAATACATCTCGACTACAGCCATCAACTGCTTTCTGATGTTTGGCTTACGAGGGATCTTATCGGTTAACTTGCTCGTAGTCTTCCTGTAGTGATGATCATAGTCAACCGCGACTCGACGTCACACTACATGGGTATAAAGGTTGTGTTAAACCATTATATTTTCCATCGTTTTCATATCCCTATTATATCCAAAATATAATTATATAAACGAAGAATATTCTTTTTAAGAATCCATAAAATTGAACAGATTTAAGACAGAGTACATTTGAACTTGTAACATGTGAATTAAGGATGACTGTTTGTCATATGAAATCAAACCAGATTGTTAATGTTGGAAGTGACTAATGTAAAATTGTTAACTTGAATCAGTTTATGGGTGAAATGAAATTGTGAGAAAAATAATGATTGAAATCATGAGTCAATTGAAGCTAGACCACCATGGAAAACCTGGAAGCACTGGATGGCCAACTTGTCATAGTATGGGACTCCTCAGCAGTGCTCATCCATCACTTCGTGGACTGGTTGAAGTTAGACATTAACATTGTTGGATGCCAGCTCAGTGGTCCAGTTGGTTAAGCGCCTGGCGTGAGGCTGATAGGTCCTGGGTTGGAATCTTATGGGGTGCGGGATCATGGATGCGCACTGTTGAAGACTCCTGTACTAGGACGAAACGGCCTTCTAGTGCTTCCAGGTTTTCCATGGTGGTCTAGCTTCAATTGACTCATGATTTCAATCAGTGAAATTTCTAAAATCTCCACAGAACCCCTTCTGAAGATAAATAATAATCAGAATAAATATGGTCAACATGGGGTGAGAGAGAGAGAGAATAACGTAATTACAAATAGAAGATTACGTAATAATACGAATCAAGCAATAAGTAGTAGATAGGGGTGGATGCTGAATAGATTTCGCAAAAGGGTTAGCAAGTGTAATAATAATAATATTGGTAAGATGCGTGGAAAAGAAAAGTTTGGGACATAAAAATGAACATTGATCAAATTACGTAACCAATATGTTCTGCATAACATAAAATGATTTTTTTTATATCATGGAAAATATTTATAGATCAAAATGAGAATTCTAATGATGCTTGTCTTCTTTGAACAGGACAATTGAAGTACAATTAAACTATCCAGTATTGTAAGGATGGATAGTGGCTAGCAGTGGAACCCAGGATGCGCGTTTCGTCCTATTTGGGACTCGTCAGCTGGACGTACCTGCATCTCAGAGTTCATGTTCACTCTGGGACTCGAACTCAGTACCGTCCGCTTCAAACACCATCGCGTTATCCACTTAGCTACTGAGTCCTGATAGCCATTTAAATTAAGGCAATATCGAGGCATACGCACAGTATGTACATATGCCAATAAAAGACTGATCAATTTCAGTCCTAAAAAATACATCAATGGGAAGATTCAAGTAAAACAATATCAAGTGAATTATCCAGTATTGATTTGAATCAAATTAAAAATAGATAGTCATAAGAGTTTAGAATGTTTAACTAACAGATTCATATGAATGAAACTAATCTGTAAATATATAATAGTATAGCAACTATCCTACAAACGATTTCGATGACAGTTTTGATTTAGCCCTTTTAACAATAACTTGCTTAACAGATAATGTTATTTGAATAGTAACAATACATCTATTTCTTTGTACTATTATGATCAGTAAATCACATGATAGACTTTAACTAAAATGTTGATTGCTTAAATATCATTCGATGATTCACTCTTCTCCCAATATATATTCATGTATTCAAATCCTATTATTAGTCTTTGCTTTGCCTTGTTGCTCCCTTATGCAATTTGACTATAAATATGCTTATGTCATCGCTCATACATACTTATTCGATTCTCTGCTTCAAATTAGTTTGATGTACGTATAACTTTGTGATCCATGCTATCGACTAATAAACTGTAGTTGTCGTTTCTGATTGCCAATTGATTAACGAAGAAAATCCACTACAATAGATTTAAGGAACAATATAATACAAATGAATTAATACCATTCTATGAACTAGTCCTATTGTCTATTTAGACTATTATCTCCAATGAACTACACTTCATTCTTTTAACTAGGTAAATCATAATCGAACATGATATCAATTTATAAATGTTCCAAAGATGACATGATCATTTGTTTGTATATCATAATTCTTAGATAAACAGTATGTTGTTTAGTAATATATACAGAAGAGAATATTTTATTTTGGCTGACATGATTAACTTTATTAGAGATAGTAAAAACCTGCATATAACTTTTTTGCCTTACCAATTGAGGATTTATTTCTTTAGAGCTTCCGTATATAAAAGGGAATTTCTAGTACGCAGGACTTGGCAAGTATACGATGACTTAAGTAATTGAACAAGTGGTTTTATGATCATATTCTTCTGTTAAATGACTAAATCCTATAAATAAGAATTCATGAATTTTAACAGCAAATAATTACCTGTGCGTATGGGGCATTTCCGATAATCAGCAGGTTAATCGTAGGTATAGCCACTAATTATTTAACACGAACATATGGTATCTTAACATCAAACAGTCTAGATTCTACTCAGAAAATGTAACAGTACTTAAAAAGAAAGATAGTTTTTGTTGGTTTAATCAAATGTTTAATGCAAACTACGTCAATTATAATCTAGTGTTTTCATGTTGTGGTGAATGCTACTTATATCGACAGACATAAGTAGTATGTAACATAAATCAGAAATGGAA